TCGCGGCCGAGATTCGAACTCACCACCTCCCGATCACGAAGCGAGGCTCTACCGACTGAGCTACCGTGAACGGTTTGTATTGTTAGTAAGTGATTTTGAAAGAGGTACTGTGGAAACATTTTAATTCTTGTATATCATGTTTTTGGCAATTAATATTTTATCATAAAAATATCAAAATTGGTACCATACATGATTTATATTATACTTTGTGAGCATGTCATTTGTTTCGTGGGTACTTAATGTAGATGATTCAAAGAACCGATACGTTGGGAAAGTTATCGTTCGTGCGGATGTTAATTCGTGGACAAAGGTGACCTGTGAAATAAGATTGGTCTCTGAACAGTGTCAACAGTATCACTATGAAATTCATGCTTGAATCCTTTCTCAGAAAATTTTAAAAACGTTGGTTGCAAACTGCGAAAAACAAGCAAATGTTTAAAGGAAAAAGGAAAATAGATATTTGTCGAAGTTAGTGCCCATCAGATTGTTGAATAGCTGGTATCCAAGAACTACAACGATTATGTCGATGAAACACTGTAGAACCCTTTTAATATCGACCTGCTTATGTGTATAATTCATAATATATGAAAATTTCCGAGTTAATTTTTTAAGAAGCAGTAATCTATGATTTTTGAGCCTGGTTTTTAATTTATCGTGAGGAATGCTTGTAAGAAGTGTAAAACTTCATACGTTATGATATTACTAACTTTTGATTGAAGTTTTCGTAAAGTTTTTCTTAAGTTTTTGCTCTGCTCACAATTTGCATTATTTGAATAGCCTTTGAGCATAATCACGGTTTGCTATCTTCACATTTCATTTCCAAACATTACACCTCGAAGTTTTTTCTCTTCCTATCCAAAATTTTGCCCATTTTAGTAACATAATATCTCTGTAAACTTTGAATTTTCTAAGTTTAAGCATACTAGTTGACCTCGAGGGTTATATCAAAGCAGAATTTTTTGTTGATAAGAATAATCCACAGATCGAGCTTAATTTGAAAGCCAAATTACCTCTAATTTTATTTATTATGAGAAGCAATGCAAAAAATAATGTCCTGAATACCGTGCTGCAGACAATATCTATACCTTCTAACACTGAAAGAGTAATTTAAGTGTTTTCATTTGAGATTAGGAAAACTGCTAGAAAAGTGCAACAAATTGTACATTTATATCAAAATTACATTTAAGCCCCAGTTTTAATATCATGACATATTAATGTTCTGAAACCTATCTTCAAATTTCATATCTTAGAGAAGGCATCATTTTTTAATCTCACCAAAAAATGAGTCGTTCCTATCATGATCACAGTAAAAGTGAAAGAATCTAGGAGTAAATATTTGATCATTTTTTCATGTTTTAGTATTTTATTCTATTATTGGATATGCATATGGCATATCCGCATTTCTCGCCATACATAAGCCATATAAATTGATACCATTCATTTAATGTCCTCTGATTCTTAAAAAAGTGAAAAAATGACATACACTTATCCTGATTAAGGCCATTCTTTTTAAAAGCATTCTTTAAATCCAGAATAAAATGATCAATACTGTAATAGACAGAAATTGTAAAATGCTGCTGAATAAAAACATTTTGAAATTCATTATGCACTTATATTTAATTTCCGTTTTTGTGTTAAGCTGTTGTCCTCCTTTGCATTTGATGATTTGTACGGATGCTTTTCCTTGATTATGATCTTTCGTTCGATATCCGTGATCAAGGGTACATGTACATGATCCATTGTTATATTCAATTTTTTCAATTTTATGGCTGTTCGATTTTAACCTGGATATAACTGACGTCACAGTTGACACGACACAAAGAAACAACTGGAAACTAACATACAGAGAAAGATAAGGTACATCTGTGGAACTCTGAGGCATTGTTTGTTCAAATAATGTTAAAAAGACAGTAAAAGCTAGTAAAAGGGTCAACGAATATTGAATTCTCTCCCCTGATTCTAGAGGAATAAGAAATGTCATAGAATTCAATATTGCTAGTGCCAAAATGGGTACAAGAGTAGTAAATACGAAGTAAAGATATCTTCTTTTGAGCTGCAGTTCGTAATGCAAAGCTGTCACGTCATACTCAGTCTGATATTCTATACTGTATGAAAATCGTGTAAACTTCCATTCTCCATTGTGTGTTATATATTCTTCATCATAATCTAAAGGTTGTGTTGGGATAAGCTTTTGAATAGAGTCGGGTGTAAGCCAGGCGGATAGCGTTAAAATACAGGTCTGATTATCGAATGGAATTTTTTTTCATCTTAAGATCACAAGACACCACGAATTTCCCTCCTGGAATCCAATTCATGTGACCGTTAGATTTCACTGAAATGATAGATAGAGAATCCATCGTATTTAAGTTTTCCTCAGAGGAGTATAAATGTAAATCTGGAATCCAAGCTTTTTGTTGAGGTACTGTGATCATATTGATTCCGGAATAATCAGTCTCATTCCAAGTCAGAAATTCGTCATCCCACTGAACGTCGAACCAAGCAGTGAATGAGATGTACTGTAAATGTTCATCTACTTCGTGAACTGTTTTCAACCTCATATGAATGCTGACATTAACAGATTCGCTTTGATTTCTTCTTGGTTTTAATATCTGACTATAATCCTTGAAAAATGACGCTCAAAACTGGTCTGACACATACATATGTACAACTGTACAAAAGCAACATTGAAAAATAGAAACCCAAGTTTGATGTCCATTGTTTCCTTTAACTGTTAGCTGTACAGTAATTAATGTTATCTGAGTTCGTGTATGGTTTAGAAAAAAATACATTTATTTAATAAGAACATTTTTATTTATTTTCTATATAACATTAACCTTTATTTGTTAATGAGGAGGAAATGCATTAGTATTTATTTTGAGGTCAGAATTAAGGCAAATTCATCATGATCGTATCAATAATAGGAGTTTTTTCATGTTTCTCATGTATGATTTCCACCAATTTGAGGATCAATACTGACAAATGATTTACACTAACGTTTTAAAGAGCCCTTTGTTATAATTTATTCTATGGTCAACAAACGGCAGTTTCATATGAAAATAAGAATGATTCCGAACCACTTAAATTTGTTTAATTTCCATTAGCGTGACATTGTTCCACAATCTATGTACTTTGTGTAAACAGTAAACATTAAACCAAAGAAAAGATTTGTACAGCACAAATCCTTAAAGGATCTTGTAATGAATTTACGTTTTGGTACTAAAATCCCACCATAGTGTTCCTCTTATTCTCCTCTTATTCATATTAGCGAGGGCAGCGAGCTGCACGAAGCGCTGCTCATGCTGCGAGGTCTTAAAGCAACGCCTGGGCGAATAAGAAACTCGGACTTGGCACGTTGATCCAAATAATTCTTTTCCGCAGTTACATCGAATGCATATCGCTACTAACTACGTTATCGCTGTACCAGCAAGGTTGACAGAAAAGAAACTCTCATTGATGTAATGGATATTGAAGATAAATATAGTAGATTAAACGTTCTTTGTTAAAATTTTCACTTTCCAGACTTCCTTCTAAATGGTAATGCAACTAACATACGAGGTCATGTGACATCAAAGTCTAGATGTTTCAAATATCTAGTGTGGTTTGAAGAGGCGGATGAAATACGTGGAGATAACGAAAAGTATTCAAGCTCAAAAGTCTACTAAACAATACAAATTTCGGAGCAGAGCAAACACGGTCCTCTAAAACATCATAGGTGGGATCCGGTGTCATGGAGGAGTGAGCATCCCCTGCCAACCAGTCACACCCGCCGTGTGCTCCTTATCATGATCGGGAAATAACGGAAAAATCCGTCGACAATTCAGTATGTAAATAATGGCCTAATAATTAATATGGAAAACGTCAGTCAGCATCTGACTTAATGATAAATTGTATTTGGTGACAAGGTCGTTGTATGGACCATAGAACTTACGAAATGACGACTTTAAACGAGACTGCTGATTGCCTTGTTTCATCAACTTGTTTTTTCAATAACTTACCTCGTTTTAGAAATTGTTCATACGTAGAGCATGCTCTTGTGTATCGACTCAACTGAGAGAAATAAACTCAGAATGCAGGTGATGAAGGCTGCATAAGTAAAGGAAGTTAACTATTGAAAAGTTAAAGTCATCACGTTTATCATAAAACTTGGTTGTTAGGTTACAATTAAAGTCTTGTTCTAGTAAAATATCCAAATATGAAACAGATGTGTCAGACTCTGAGGTATCTTTTATTTTAAGCTCACCGGGATATAACGCATCAGCACAAAAATGGAAATAACAATTGTTAATTGACAATACGTCGTCGATATATCTAAATGTCGAGTTGAAGGCCACAGCAAGTGTTTTCTTCTTTTCACGTATAAGATTTTGAACAAATTCTTCTTCATATGAATACAAAAATAGGTCTGCTAATTGCGGGGCGCAATCGGTACCAATGGGAATTCCAATAGATTGTTGGAAGACCTGATCTCCAAAAACCACATAGATTTTGTCAATCAGAAACTCGAGCTTCTTTTTATATCAACTTCAGAGTACTTGTGTTTTTTTAAAAATAATTTTGCAAATGACCAATGACAAAGGAAGCAAATTTAAAAGTTCCATTTTTATTTAAAAAGCAGCTGTCAATGATATCAAAAAGCTTGGAAAAATAATTTATTGAAATTGGTTGTATATGAACTTGAAAAGTCATAAGTTTTTATGTTGTTCATTTGGTAAAATTTTGTGATTTCAAATTTTCCAAAAGTTCCTTGGAATTTTTAGGTATATATGTTTTATAACACTAGATCTACGTTCTCGGATCTAAGTTTTTTAATACTGAATAGGTAAGTACATGTATCTTATAATACACATCTGCGATCGCCCTAACAGTCGCACCGTCAACATATTTAGACTTCAAAACGTATAGTTAACTGAAAAAAAGGGATTATTTTCTTGATAAACAACTCCTATGAAAAGCATTCACAGAAAAAAGCCGTTTCTTTTCTTGACTTAAGATATAAAAAAATATTGATGATACTCAAGGGCTTTTATCACTTTTGTATGTACAATGCTCTTTGTCGGTAATGATGTAAAACAAAGTTAAAGATAAGTTTTTCCATGGATTAAAGTTAACTTTTTTAGAAATGTGAACGAACGGACGCATCATAAGAAACTGTAACATGAGAGAAAGGAGGAAATATATGTGAATTTTAAAAATAACAGTCAAGAGGTATTCACTTTTTCTGTGTAAAACACCATGTCGAAACACCGGTCTGATGGTGGCAAAGTCTTTTTCTTATTGTCAGGATAGTCTGCTTCAGATGAACTCTTTGGCGATGGGCAGTTGGTGACTTTAAAGTCTTTGTTCATGCAGATTTGTAGCTGCGAAATCCAAGCCTTGCGCTACAGTTAAAAACAAAATATTTCTTACCAAATTATAATAATTCATGTGCATGTATAAGCATCAACGTCTGTTTTTATATTTCATTTGTATTAAGAAAATAATTCATTTACCAAGTACTTTCGAATATGCAATAGACGGGGCTAAAGGTCGATCGTCCTCCAAAAATACTTATAAAGTTTAAAGTACATGTAAAATTTTCACTATCACTGTCGTGTGAACGCAATTTAAGCATTTACTGCGATTTTAAGTTTTATGAGCATTTTGTGATCAGGCATAAAATTTGCACGGTACCTTATAGATTCCACATAAAACGCGGGGCATGGCTCCTGTTTTTCTGCTCACGGCTTTCTTGATATCCAGCAGCTAAATATTCGAAAAAATATATATATACTTGAAATTTAAGGAATAGTGTCTCGAACAAACAATTATGTGACAAGAAAAAAATACCCTTAAAAGTAGGTTAAGGTGGCCAATTGGTCGGCAATTAAACCAAAAGATCCACCTTAAAATATGAAATATAAAATTTTTCCTGCAAAAACTTATCGTATTTCATTCTTTGTATCTTTTGTATCTTTTATTTTGTTGCAATTTGTGAGTTAGTAAAATGAAAAAGGTAACTATAACGATCAGTAATAAAAACGATGCTACGGTTCAATCGTGTCAGTTAGAATAAATGAACTTCCTCTGGTCACCTACATATGTAAGTAGTTTCAATTTTTTAAAGCTCTTTTTAAGTTATGGCTTGCTGGCTTAAATTCATAATAATTTAATTCACTACTTCTTTAACGAGGTTGGATCCTGATATTTAAAGTCTTAAACTTTTTTTGTAAAGTATATTTTATGTTTCTACACACATAGCTTAATTAAAAATCAAAACAAAAAATAGGGGTCAATATGCTTCTTTTGGCGCTACAGTACATTTAATATGACCTTTTTGCACTGAAATTTGTGTCTTAATCAAAAATCACATCTTCGACGTTTTCCCTCCAAAGTTTTTATCCAAATAAATCATGGGACAAAACAAACTATGAGACTATTTAAAAAAATTAAAGTTGTGACTAGGAAAAAGTTTCAAATTCCTTCGCATAATCAATTATTTGACCTTTTTGCACTCACAAAATGTGATTTTTCTGGCATTAAAAATTTAACCAGCTAGAAAATTATTTTAAAGTCTTAAACTTTTGCTGAATTTAAGCAGATTGATCAAAGTTATCTTAAATATTCAGAAAAGAAAAACAAAAGTGGGGGTCTATGATCTTAATTTTTAGATATTACTAAAAAAGTGTTAATTTTATGATAAAATTGGCTCAATTTTTTCCTAGAATTTCAGAATATATTTACTATAATTGTCACAATATAATGAGAGAATTTATAAGAAATAATTTAATAGATATTTCAGACCAGCATAAAACATTTCACTGCAAAAAACATCTCTGTTTGCAACCAGCATGGAAAAATAGGAATCTAAACTTAACAGTATTGTATATATTTTAAAAGGGAAAAAATGATCATTTTCTTCTAAAAAAAAGCTTCCGCTACAAAATATAGTTCCTGGCTTAATCCTATCTGAATGGAATTTAATCGCGGTTTTTTCATTGGATATAGTTTAATTTGCATAGTAGAATCCAGATTTAATGTCAGAACTTAAAATGATGCAGAATTTTAGAAATAGAGATCCAGGCCAAAATCTGCTCAGAAGTTCAGGATCGAACCTCCTTAATTTTACCTTGTATGACCTTCCTGGTTTGATGTCAGCCGAAGACAACATCCTGGTAAAGTAAAATTACACATGTAACATACAGTAAATTTGTACCTAGAAATACTTATAATTCCAAAGTTTGTGAGCTACAATGTTAATTTTCAAGCATTGTTATCTACAGTATATGCTAAACTGTACGATTCTGGATTATGCCAAGTATTTTACAACAATAAGATAGTTATTACATAACTAGGTAAAGCACTGTGGTTTTTAGGACCATTATGGCCAAGAACTAGGTTTTCTAGTACGAATAGATCCTTGCACATTCTTTTTCGAAATTATCCTATCTTTGTCGTTTAATTTGCAAGTAAGTTCCGCTACAGTTTCGTATTTGTTCTTATGCTATAATTATGGGTCTTTATCGTTTCACACACCAAGGAATATAGTTGTCAGGGTTTCGAACATCTCTGAATGTACATTGAAAGGAACTGTTTGTATCTTATTCGACAAACTGTTCTGATAAATCTTAAGACTCTGATATGGCCTGAGACTATTGATTACAATCCTAATAAGACCTGGTACTATCATCCATAATAATGACCTTATCTTTGGTTGTTTGGATCCGCAGACACACTTATGTCGGCAAAGAAATAACGGATCGACTTAGTTTACACATTAAGAATAAATATTCAATAGTTAGATAAATTTAAAATCACCAAATTTTTTGATAGTAAGCAACATGACCAGGTATGCCTTTTCTACAGTTTATACAACTATTCCTTAAGATAAGTAATAAACTAGGCTTTTTGATATCATAGGCATCTCCTTCAATAAAAATGGAACTCGGATATTTTCATATACTAGTATGAGATATGAAGATAACTAACAGTATTCAATCTCGAAAATCCAATGAAACGATACAAATTTGGAGCAGAGGAAACACGGAGGTGGGATCAGGTGCCATGGAGGAGTGAGCATCCCCTGCCGACTTGTCACACATATCTTGTTATTGGTCACTTACAAATTTGCTCCGTAAAAAAAATCACCCCGGTTCTACATATAAGTCCTGTAAGGTTGATATTAAAAGGATGTTGGAATTCCTTATTGACAACATCTGTGAAGATAACGAACGGTGATCAATCTCAAAAAATACACCAATACAAACAAATCTGTGAACAGGGCTACTGAGAATTTAGTTGAACTTACAGGGATTTCAAAAATCTCGTTTAAAGTCAGCATTTCTTAAATTCTATGGTCGTTATAGCGACCATATAGGAAAAACAACCTATCATTGAATTATTTTTGAATGACATATTTTTTAAATACTTAATATGACTAAGGATTGCTTCGTTTAGCTGGGCTCACTACGGACGTGTCCGGTCAAAGCGAGATGCTTACTTCTCCCAGACACCTGATCCCTCCTCTGGAGTTTCCCACTTCTGGAGTTTCCAGAGGTCTTTGTTACATGCCCTTTGCACAGAGTTGTATTGTTTTTGAGATCGAACGCTGATCGTTATCTCCCCGTATTTCATTTACTACATGAATATGACCCAACATTGCTTTTCCTGTGATGTACCTGTCCACGTCATACTTTAAGCGAAGAGCAATCGTCGTGTTAAAATATTTGAGTTCAGTTCCTGTGGCTTTCACAACTGTAGCACATCTCCCATGCTTTTCCCATTCATGTTTCCTATATGTTGGAAAAAAGTACGAACATTTCATATTTTTTCATTTATGAATGCTAGATTTAGACTTTGTATCTACCCTTTCCTGATCTACAAAAGTTGAAAAATGAAATATTATTCTGGGATAAGATTTTAAAAAATATATAAACTTACCAAAACTGATATTTGTTTTTACCAGGGAGCTCATCTGCCCAGTATTTTTCTAGTTTGCTCAATATATCCTGAAATATTCAGGAGAAAAACTGAAACATTTACTGACGTTTTCCTCACGAAACATATCCCCAGATGGACAGCAGGTACCTCAATAAGTATATTCTGCAGGTTAGACCCTTTCATTTAAAACAAAGAATTAAGTGATCTAAAAGATGAGCTTTTAAAACTTTACGCCTACCGACATACAGCACATGGACAGACACAGTAATTCCCAAATATCTCATTCAACTATAGTCAAAGAAATGATACAAACCCTTATTTCATCTGGACTAAAGCTGTGAGATATGTTGCAGTACTCTGGAGAACGAGCGCCATTGCTAAGAGAGGGCCTGTATATATATGAATTCTGTATATTATGAAATTGTTTAAAAATGCTATTTTTTAAATCATGATTAAATTTGAACTCGACTAACGAATTTCAAATCTGAAATTTGAAAGATACAGACAATTATTTATTGTGAATCGTGAGGTTCATCAGCAGTAAAGCTTGTGTTAAATTATTTTTTGTTATTTTTTGGCTTAATAAATACAATTTAATTCCTCCAGACGGAGGTATATATATATGCGATAAACCTTCATTGTGATCGCTTACCTTTGCCGAAAATTACATCATGTTAACATCGCGTGAAGTAGAGGAAAAGTGAAATGACAAGCACACAATACTGTATGTGTACTAAAAAAAGCGGGCTTCATGTTTTAGCGGCTTTGGCGCAGACAACGATGCGCTAATTCATGAATACCGCTAAGAAATCATTTACTAATACAATACACGGAACGAATATGTGTAGCGCTAATTCATGATTATGCGAACAACTCCATACCCCTGATTGCGCTAAATTTTGAATGCGCCAATTTATATACACGTACAGTATTTCACCTAAAAATAATATGCTTACAGATCCCATAGTATTTACTCAAGTCCTAAAGGGGCTTGAGTATAAGTCTCAGATGCTAGGTCATCGATTCCAATTTCAAAACAAGAAACAAAACAAAATATTCACCGGCTTGTCTCCGAAAACCTTTTTTTCTGAAAGAAGTTTATGTAAACTTTCTGATTATATTTATTGAAGAAAGAATAATGAGTGATGCTTCTGTCCCTGGGGACCATATTCTGATTGAACAATTTACAATCTACACTTCCTCAGTAACTTTTTTGATCCAGTGGTTTTTTCATAAGATTTTAAAATACTTTTCCTATATATTTTAATGCAAAACATTGATTCCATACTGTTGGTTCAAACTACCCCAGTGGACCATGATCCGAACAATTTAGAATCTGAAGAAGCTTCCACGTGAATTTCTGGTCCAGCGGTTGTTGAAAAGATTTTGAAAGGTTTTCCCCAATATAATTCAATGTAAAATTTCGATCCCCTATTGTGGCAACACCCTAATCTCAGGGACATGTTTTGAACAATTTACAATCTTTATTTTATCATGAAGTTTCCGCATGAGTTTCAGCTTTTTGGTCAAGTGGTTCTTGAGAAGAATATTTTAAAGAAATTTGCCATATATTTCAATGAAAATTTTGATTCCTAATTGTGGCCGCGTCCTACCCCCGGGGGCCATGATTTGAACAATTTAAAAACTATATAACCTCAGGAAGCTTCCACATATGTTTCTGCTTTTTTGGCGCAGTGGTTCTTGAGAAGATTTTTTAATGACCCCACCCTATTTGTGCTTTTTCTTAAGCTCCTCTCCCCGGAAGTGGGCTTGACCTTCTCTTTTATCAACATAGAATCTGTTTACTCAGGGATGCTTTGTACCAGCTTTGGCCTAGTGGTTCTTGAGAAAATGTTGAAAATGTGAAAACTTTACAGACGGAGGACAACGGTGATCAGAAAAGCTCACTTGAGCTTTGAGTTTAAAAGGATTTCTTGAAAATTTTATGGAGGGGAGGTTTATTTTCAGTCGAATTATTTTAATAGTTATAATCTCCACAACAATTTATTGAAATTTAGGGAACAGGTTTTCTTTGATTTAAAAAAAAATCGCAAAATCATTCTTCCGACATCAAGACAATAATAACATGTTCCCTCCAATTCCTCTTTACCTTTATTTCCTTTATATTTTCTAATCTCTATATCTAGTATTTTGAAGAGAAAGAAAAATACTAAAACAATCAGATAAAATAATGATGATCTACTGTTGGTTATATATTTTTGTGCGCTATATTCTCAAAAAATATACCCACCGAGCTTGAGTCGGAGTGCACACTCATCATAAGCTCGCAAGTAGTTATCAGAATATTTTATCACGTATTTGTTAACTGCACAAATTCTAATTGATAACATTTACCGACAAAAAATCAAGCTTTCCATAAAATTATAGTTTGAGAAATAAACATATGGCTATTAAGCTGCCTTAAGGAACTCATTCATTTAGATTAAAAGAGGAAAAAAGAAAGAAAGAAGAGAAAAACACCTTAAAGAATTAGTATCATTTTGCAATATACATGAAGACTCACCATAACCCGTGGATTTCCCACATATCAGAGGTGATACATCTCTGGTGATCTTTGTTCTATATAATAAAAACAAATAAATTAGTGAAAGCAAGGCATTTTTATAACTTTTAATTTAAAAAACTTTTTAAAAAATTGTAAAGGTTTCATTTTCCTATCGTCGAAACATGCAGAAAAATCAAAAGTCAAATTAAACAATTTTATGGCATAAAATACCACGAATGAGGAAATATTCCGGGTGATAATATTTGTATTCTCAATATCAGAGACTTGATAAGATTAATCACGTAATTCTTTAGATAACTATGATCCAGAAAGATAGGAGGTTATATTTTTCCGTATCGCTCGTTTAAAGCGGAACATGCTAAAGACTCAATTCCTCAAGTGTTTTTAAAAGTTTCTTGGACTGCATACGATATTTTGCTGAGTTTTACAGCCAAAAGTACAAAAATAGTAGTTAATAACACATTATACTTAATCACCACGTAAATTCATTCGTCATTTGTATTTCTGAAACATGAATATACTAAGTACATGTACTTGTATACAAGGGGCCCAAGGGTCAAGCAATCACCGAGGTTACCTTAACCTAAATTTCTGACAAATGAACTAAGGATAACTAAAAGTCCTTCAATACCAATCGTGGTATTGAATGCACGTGAGTAAATAATTACATCATAAACAGTGATGAAAACGTATTTTTTTTTTCAAATTGTGCAATGAAAAATGCCTCTTCATATTAAATATTTTAAACAACGTCAAACAATTAAAGCTTCAAAATATCGATACTCATTTTCATTTCCTTGTACGTGTACGTCTTTCTTAAATTCAAATAATTAGTCCAAAATGTTACAAAAACTCACAATCACTACAAACATACCTATTGAATTAATTTGTCAACTCTCACCACGCAGATACATAATAAAGATAAGTAGACCCCACTTTGAAGTTTGAGCTTGTGTAAATAATCACAATAAAGCGTACAACAGTTGTTCACACTTCACCGCTTTTGACTGTGCAGATCGCCGTCAGATTTTGCAATCCTATCGATGACCACTATTAATTCTTTCTGTTTTGTTTAGTTTGTTTTTAATTATTTCTAATTTATTTTTCTTATTTATGCGTGTAAACTATTTGACCTTTTCAAAGGGGAACAACTCGATATTAGTAACGATGGCCGCGTAAATTTTTCTCGGTAACCGCGTATATTACACCCACGCGTAATGTTTGACAGTCACAAACGCGTACTTAACAACCAGCGTAAATAACCACTTTTACAAAAATAAAAATTTTCTGTTTAAAATGTGACTCCTAAAGTAGTCTTACTCGCAGGGGCTGGCGACATATGATGCTTGATTGTATACAAAAAAGGAAAAGGAAACCAGACCGAATTTACACCGGGACAAACTGAAAATACCCGCGTATTTTCAATCGAACACCCTACAGCAAGTGCAGTGATGACTTAAATCATTTGAATGAAACAACAAACACTTAGTATCAGGAAATCTTCATATTTCATTTGCGTTGCCACTTGATAAAATCCTGTGACGCCCCAAATGTTTTTTCGTTAGATTTGATCGTGTACGCAAATTCATTTCGTAGTGAACTTGCTAGCAATTTTATCCATTACTTGCCTTCAGGTCTGATACAAACATTCGTATTGAAATATAACAACGATCGACCAGTTCGTTGTACTGTAGTCTGTACCTCGCAGCGCATTGTGATATAATGAAATATGTATATAACGAACAGTATTCAAGCTAAAGTCCATTAAGACAATACAAATATGGAACAGAGCAAACAGAGACCTCTGAGGTGGGATCAGGTGCCATGGAGGAATGAGCCGACCGATCACACCCGCCGTGTGCTCATTGTCATGATCGGAAAAAAGGAAAAATCCTTAGACAATTCAGTGTGTAATTACTTGCTCAGCAATTAGTATGAAAAACATCAGTCAGCATTTCACTTAATGATAGGTTGTATTTGTTGACAAGGTCATTGTATCGACCATAAATCTTGTGAAATGATGACATCAAACGAGACAGTTGATATCCTTGTTTCATCAACTTGTTTATCAATAGCTTGTCTCTTTTAAGAAATTGTTCATGCGTAGAGCCTGCTCTTGTATATAGAATCAACTGGGAGAAAAATTCCCCAAATGTAATCTCGTAATGGCCTCTTATTTAACCAGAAATCAAACTGTTTGTGTTTCAAAAGATTCATCCTTCAAAAAAAGTTTCCTAATGTTAATATATTTGTAAGCCTTTTTCATGTCTCCATAATTGAAATTTCGGAGGAATAGCGTTTTTGGCTTGCCCGACAGTCAGTTTATCCGCAAAACTTAAACTTTTCGAAAACTTTTGATTGATTGGAGCTAGGGTATATTTCACCTATGTTTCTTGTGACAAGACCTGTCCTTGGGTACCAACATTTTTAACCTCATTAACTTTGACCTAGGAGCTTGACGTACTTTTATAAAAAGATAAACATTGACCATAATTTCTAAACAGTTTGTGCAAGGGCTTGTATATTCTTTGGGTTTTAACATTTTGACGTCTTGACCTTGGAATTTGACGTGCATTTGAGAAACTTTAATCTTGGCAATAAGCTGTCTTACGGGGCGATCATTGTTTTACAGGCACATTCTTCTTCTTCTGTTTATTTATTTAATTTTTTTTAAAAGTGCTTTTTTAGACTAATTCCTACCTCGAAAATACACTAGTCTTTTGGTCCCGCACTTACATGAATTGTACCCCCCTCTGTTCATGACAAGATTTTCCCTATAAATTCCTATTCAAACTTCCACGCTGATCTCCCCTCCCCCACGCTAGGCCGAGGTCGATGACTTCAACGAACTTTAAAACTCCAATTCATGGAGATCTTTGTATATTTACTAGTAAACACCTAAATGCAATTTTAGCCAATCTGTTCTTGAGATGACTTTTTGAAGATGGTATATCTATTTACAATGGTCTACTATTGTGGTTCCTACCATGACTCAAAGGCAATGATTTAAATGAAATTGAATCTTCCTAGAATGTTGATGATTGCATATGAATTTTACTAACTGTAGCCCTGCTAAATGTACAATTAGTGACACCACACTACCACAACATGCATGTAGTTCACGGTTTTTCCCCCAATAACATCCCCATGTTAAGCGTTTTACACCAATTGCAACCCCAGATACCAATTAAAATTGAATCTTCAGGCACATGTACTTGTATATTAGTATGACTATCTTTAGCCCTTCTGATCTTGAAAAAGAGTTGTTTTTTAACTGTTTCCCATGATTTATTCCCTTGTAAAATGTTGATCCCTTACTGCAAAGAATGTGAAGAAACTTGAGGGTGGATGTATTAATGAGAAAATATTTCCAGCCAAGCAGTACAATAACTTTAAGTTGAACCACACTTACCCAAGGGCATTTTGCGCTAAGTTTGGTTTAAATTCGGCCAGTGAAGAAGAAGATTTGGTGTGAAGTTAACGGATGACGGAACAATCTTCGATCAGAAAAGCTCACGAGGCTAAATAACACCAACATAAATAATTTTTTTTTCGAGTCAAATGCCGACTTAAAAACAACAGAATTACTCAGATGAGGAAAACTTCAAAAGAACGGATGATCAATCTGAAAAGATTACATCAGAGAAAAATGGAAAAATTTATTATGTAAAAATAATAAATATTATTGTTTAAGAAATACTATAAAATATAAAACAATCTAATATATGCAAAATTAAAATCTTTTGGATCCTGTGATGATTTCAGATATACTTGCACTTACCCCTCTCCGTTTTTTATAGTGAAGGAAATATTTCTACAAATGCAAATTCTAGAGACTAAAAAAAAAACAGCTTGCAATATAAGATACACATACTTGTATTTACGTACTTACATACAGTTTACTAAATTTACAAAGTGTGGCGGGCCACGTCATACTTAATACGAACAAGTCCCATTCCTTTTCGCCAAAGCACACTCTGAAATAAGTTAAAGAATCAAGTTATGTCTAAATAAATGTGGAATGGAAAAGATTTTTAAAATTGAAGCAAATTAAAACTCTCACGCCGAAAGGACGACAAAAGCACTGGACAAGTGATAAATACTTTTCATCATCCTGCTCGAATGTGCAAAGAATATTCAACGCCTTACTTTTATACATTTATATATTTCCCCGATACAAGGACATTTTACTTGATTTGTTTTAATATCCTTAATCTGCAATCATATATACAAATATGATATAATTGTGAAAAAGCGATCGTATGTCAATTACTTAACGTTTTAGAGAAAAAGAGCGAGATCGCTGGGTTTTTGTTTGTTTTAACCGTATAACACCAACATGACACCTGTATTTCGTACAAAGAGGTATGATAACAAACTTTAATATAAGAGGTGTATTAAGCATAGTGAGACTGGTTGTTCCAATAATTTCTCTATAACCTCTTGTTTTTAGGAATGATTTTAAGTATTGTACATACTCTAGGTTTATATAGATAAAGCTAAGGCTGATTGGACGTGGTGACAGACATACAGACAGTTTTGTTGGAATATTTAAGGAATTTTAATTTCAGTAAAATTTCTTGATAGAAGAATGAATTTCTGTAAATACATTGAAGTAGCATATGCGTTGTAATTCAAGGTATTTCTGCAAATGCATTAAATGGCCCAGGTATGGATATATAAAGCGTTTGCATAAAATAATTATTTCATACTCATACTATAGAACATAAAATCTGTTATAGCATACGAATTTCATACAACTATTGCAGCATGCACCTATAGGATCCTACTGCCCACAAGTACACAGAGTACCATAAAATGAAATAGGTTACTTGTATAATTCCGACTAAAAATAGGTAATTAAATTAACGCCTATTTTACCTTTCTATCTGTCAAAGGGAAAACATTTATGTACAAAAAACACTGATATTATTCTTCGACTGAACGAAACAGAACAATTTGATATATTTCAAGCTCTTTGAGGTTTTCGTTCGTATTCAATGAAAATCATTAAAGACAATTTATTTACATGTATATTAGAGCATTACTTTGAAATAATATGAGTTTTGTTTTGTAATGCAAAAAATCATATGTTCAGACCAAACACACAATTCTGCAAGTCGTTATGCAACTTATTGTTCCATTTCTAAGCAGGAAATTTCTCAAAATCTGAATTCAGTTTTTAATATTTTTAATATTCCCAACAATCAAATTGAATTTGAATTACCATACCTATACTAGATTCCTAAACTACATAAAAATTTTTACAAACAAAGATACATAGCGGGATTCAGTAAACGTTCTACCAAGTTCCTTTCTTTACTCCTCACTAAAATATTAACAGCAGTGAAGGAGAAACTTCAGGAGTACTGTGCAACAATATATTAGAGAGTTGTTGCAAATAAGATATGGATACTTAAAAATTCCAAGGAACTTTTCGAAAATTTGAAATCACAAAATTTTACCAAAATCAATAACATCAAAACGTACGACAACGATTTCCCACTTAAAATTAAAATCCAGGTTTTTTGTCATAGACAGTTGCTTTTTTTTTTTTAAAAAAAAAAGGAAACTTGTCATGGGTCGATCATCTGCAAAATAATTTTGCTTAAAAAACATTCTAATTGTAAACAAAAGTACTCCAAAGTTGATATTATAAAAAGATGCTTGAGTTTTTTATTAACAGTATCTTTGTAGATTTTAGAGATCAAGTCTTCTAACAACCTATATACATGTATATATGAAATGCATGTTGAAAAAATAGTCATGAAATGATTATTCACTCTAAATATTTGCGGTAATGAATCACTTCCGCACTCGCACTTGCACCATTAACAACATCCTTAAGATCCCTCCTTAAAATTAAATTGGAGAGGAACCCATTATCATTGCATATGCTAGGCTCAATATATTATATTTGCATCCTGAGCTGCCATCAACTGTTTGAAAATGATTTTTTATGCCCCTTGATCAAAGTTTTAAGTTTTGATCTGTCTGTCCGGAAAAACTTTAACCTTGTCCATTACTTTTGAAGGATGGTTGTATATTCCGTTTCACAATTCAAGATCTATCTCTGGAAAACATGTTTGACGTTGGAGTTTGACCTACTTTAGAAAAACTTTCATTTTGACCATACTATACGTGGAATGTGAAAGCTCTGGCGCCAAGCGTTCGAAAGTTATGGGCAATGTTGAAGTTTTTTTCTAAAGTAGATCAGACTACGATAGAGAACCTCTCGACTTGACACCATTCAATCAAAGTTAGTACCTCTCACTTTTGACTTTTTATTTTAAAAACAAAGTGAAAGAGATTTGGGTCAGCCGACAGCGATGAGGATTTATAAATGGTTTAAAAATACACACAATACAATAAAAATGGACTTGAATGAGTTTGAAATGACATGTGCAGAGTGGAAAAAGGAGGTGTATTGAATTTCACTTAATGGATGCTGCAACTGTGAACCACTGTCTTTACCATTTCTCCAACTCAGCATCAGTTTTCCTAACTGGCATTTTTTTCTGTTATTTTTTTATCGAAGTAAGATGTAGATTCTGTTAGGATTTTTTTTTTTAAAGTGATTGAGAAATTTTGTCATTTTAAATTCACAAGGAAATATTAATCCAAAATTCATAATTTTAGGGAAAAAATCAGCCTTTAGAATTTGTTTGTTATTTTGATATATTATATCACATTTAGTTTCAGGTCTATCTGGATCCGGTTGCACGAACTTTAGTTAAATTAACTTACAGTTAGTGTTTTAACTAGCTGTTAAATTTTTAACGAGTTACGTAACTGTTTTATGAAAAACTTGAAATCGATCGATAATCTGATGTTTACTTAGCAAATACCATGGAATTATTTTTCACATTTTTAATGCGAAATTCTTGCAATTTTCATGCAACAAATTTTACCCCCAAAAAATCAGTTTATATTTTTATCTATGTGAAAGTCTTGTGGGCTTCTTGTAATGATTTTGTATATTTGTACTAAATGAAGAGCAAGGAAAATGCCCATTTCAATGTTTCTTTAACTACATTTTCCATTCTGGATGATATTTGCAAAATCGGCCCATGAAATGTCCATTTCAATGTTTCTTTAATTACATTTTCCATTCTGGATAATATTTGCAAAATCGGCCAATGAAATATAAAAACAAATATATTTATCCTTTTACTCCATATTGCTATATGTTTATAGGGCAGATTTCCATCTTCTGTGCTTTACATTTTCATTGTGGACAAAAAGATAAAAATATGCCTCCAAGTTGATTCGATACGCTTGATTATGTTCTGCCAACGATCAATTCCTACACAGAAACAGGATATAGAAAAATTAGTTCCTGATAGCATTTTTTGCGAAATTCAAAAGCCCTGCATTTGTATATCCCCATCTGATATTTTACACTATATGAAAATACTTGTAAACTCCCTTTCCCCAGTGTATGCTATATCATATCAGCATTACAGTCGGTCAAGATATACTGGGATAAGTTTTTGAAAACAGTCGCGCATTTGTCAGACAGAGAGTGTTAATATCTGGTACTGTTATCAAATAGAACGCTTTTTTCTTCTTTCCTCGTTTCCAGAATTTTTTGCTGGAAACCACGTCGTATGGTCGTTAGATGTCACTTACGCAATATCTCTTTAGATAAAACTGACTATGTTAAAGTCCTCTAATTTAAATACAGTTTCGAAACTAAAATCTTTTGTTGATATACAATGGTCAGCTTGATTTAAAAATAATCATTTTTGTTAGAATTGAGAAATCCATCATCCTAACCCAGCAGTGATAAAGATGCATTGTGACTGTCCATATACCTCGTGAAATGTGTTTGAATTTATTTGAATCTTAGCTCTGATTTCAAAGGACGATTTTTTTCTTTAATATTTTAAAATTCCAGTCAACGAAGGTGAGTTTGATCTACCCTACTCATACTGGAATCCATTTTCATAAAAAATAAAGATGGTGATGGAAAAGCTGAAGTCATCTCCTTTGTCATACATTTTAGTTTTTAGCTGGTCCTTATTGTTTCTGTCATTCAAATACAGTGTATGACACAGATGTGGCAGACTCGGTTCACTGGGATAGGGTGAGCGCACCATGCGTAAATGTTCATCTACCTCGTGAACTGTTTTTAACCTCATTTGAATGCTGACATTAACGGATTCACTTTGATTTCTTCTTGGTTTTGATATTTGACTATAATCCCTGAAAAGGTGACGCTCAAAACTGGACTGACACATACATATGTACAACTGTACAAAAGCAACATTGAAAAATAAAATCTCAATTTTGATGTCCATCCTATCCCTAAACTTTGATGCGCTCTACAGAAACAAATATGCTATCTGAATTTGTGTATGGTTGAGAAAAAATCACTCATAGCAACTGTTATATTCTATATAATATAAACCTTTATTTGTTGATAAGAGGGAAATGCATTAGTATCTATTTTGAAGTCAGAGATAATGCAAATTCGTCTGTATTGATCTAATTGGGAAGAGAGGAACTTTTAATATTTATCATTGCATGATCTCCATCAATTTGAGGATCAATGCTGGCAAATGAGTTGAAATAGAGTTCAAAGAGCTCTCTGCTATATTTGGCTCTATAATCAACAAAAAGCAATTTCATATTAAAATACAACTTACTCCAAGGCACTTCAATCTGTTTAATTTGATGATAGTTGCCATTAGGATGGCATTGTTCCAAAGTGCATGTACCCTGTGTAATCAGTCATCATACAAACCAAACAAAAGATATGTTCAGCACAAACCCTTAAATGACTGTAATTAATATAATCTACGGTACTCACTTCCCGACATAATGCTCTTTTTATTCATTGATATAAGCTCAGACTTCATAACGTACCTAACTGCATAAAATGGATTCTATTATTTTCTTGATTAACGATAAAATCTACGAGGGTTGATACAAAAGCAATATCACAACTGCCATTAAGTCCTTAATAGGTAGTTTTCGATAGACGCCATTTTAGCAAGAGTTATTTCCAGTTTTGTCGCCATATTGGAAATATACTTAGCGAATTTTCCTCTTTGGGCAACCAGTTTTAAATTTACATGGCAGAGAGGCAATGTCAAAAATCCTCAAAATACTAAAATTATGAATTAGAGAAAGCTTGTGGTGACATATTTTCGTAAGAAAAACTATGTTATCTTTACCCAATTGCCCAGTATGACCAGTTTAAATTGGTTGAACAATGAAGGAATTCGGGCGTGTAGACCTTCAATATGGCAACCACCGGGAAATAACTCCTTCTAAAATCGCTTCTATCGAAAACTATCTATACAAGTTGCTGTCCTTTAAAAAAGGACTGCAATACGTGGACCATATGCATGTGTTTCTACACGAAATTTTAAAAAAAAATCTAGATTTAGTGATTTTACAAAGGTGTAATTAAATTTAATTTAATTTTTTTTTTACATGTATCTTGTAATTTTTCATCGTTATTTAATTCTGCTTAATTAGGCTGTAATGATAAAAAACCATGACCTTGAAATTATGTGAATATGAAATGTTCAATCTAATTAAAATTCGATGTTCTTCTCAAAAGTAGCGATAGCGGATTCGGAACATCGAATTTTATTTAGATTGTGAAATGTTAAATGATCTAGGTATCTACCACAATTGTAAACACTGGTAAAGGAGCCTTTAAAATTAACAACAGAATTAAAAGAGGCCTAAGCATGCAGGTGTCGTATTGGTTGAACTCCGTTTGCGGATCCAGGAAAGAGGGGGGTGGGGGATTCGGATGTTGTAACCCCACAGATTTTTGCAGAAAGGTTGCCCCTTTGAAAACCGTTGCTACGGACTTGAATATAAGTGCCTGCAGTGTGACCTAGAACCCGCCCCCCCCCCCTTTTCAAAAACTGCTGAATCCGACCCTGTACTGGAGCACTAGAGGGTCTCGGCACTAGAGGGTCTCGAGTTATCTAAAACGATGCTAGGTTATCGATTAACTCGATCAATTTAAAAACACAAAAAAATATGTAACTTTTTGTGTGGTTTTTTTTCTGTCTTATTTAAATAATGGGATGTTTAATATAGTTACAATATCTGTAATCGTAACTTATCGGCAAAATAACGTGTTTTTCCGAGCTCCCAAGAAGGTCTGAGAAGATGCGATTGACAATCTCATCGTACGTGTGTAGACCTAGGTTATTTGGTCTTGCAAGTTTGCACAGGTGTGTGCACTGTTTGCTAGTGACGCTTACACTGGTGACGGTATTTGCTAAGGACATGAAGAACTATACAACAGTTTCATAACATGTGCAGTTTTTTTTTCTAGTGAAAATTGGAGTAAATTAAAAGTCGAATATCTTGGACATGGGGTAACCCATATCTATTCTTGTTACAACGACTGTCAATGCATCCATGGACGAGTTCATTGCTTACTCTGAAAGGTGGCACAGGTCAATGAACTGCCTATACTTTGAGTGATTGTACTTTCATAGCAAAGTTGTTAAATTTTATTCTCGATTGCCCTATAGTTTTGTCATTTAAAAAATTCGGCTATTTCGATACATGTAACCCATAACGGCTGGGACTTGACATCTGCACTATATATGGAATGTGTCCTCTCCCTCTCCCCCACATGGAAAAACGTTCCTTTATCAAGCTATATTTGGATTGCTGTCAATCAAATTATTTTGCGAACCTTGATGTACAAAACTAATGCCGGTAAATCTTTTAAAACCTAGTAGTTGAATTACGTTTTTAATTCAACATGTTCAAGCTGTTAAGCTATCTATATAAGTTTTTCCTACTGTACCATAGAATTTAGTTTGTATATAAGGATATATGTATTAAAGAGAAATCCAGATCTTGGTTACGCCAAAGAATAAATAAATACTATGTGCAGATTTTAGAGCGAGGTTTGACAATGATTGGCATATTCTAATTCGAAAAGGGCGAATTATTCTAATGGCAAGTTGTCTTAGAGACGAACTCTCTAGCATTCTCGCGCATGCGTAGCCTGACGTAAGCCCATGGCATCCGGTTTAACCCCACTTATATATTTTCTGCGTGGACCTCAGGGTCCACGCAATAAGAGTAAAGAGGCAATACATGTATATACTCATCAAAAAAAGAAACGCATAGTAGTAGAATTTATTTTTCCTCTTAATTTCGAAAATTTAGGGAGAAAATTTCACCTGTACAAGATGTAGTTTTCTTAACAGATAGGGAACCACGTCGGACATTTAAATGATTTACTGTTGTTTGGCACGAATTGCCATATACCCTGAATTACGGTCACTTCGTTTTGCACGAGTTGTCTGTGTTCTGCAAGATTGGAAATGTGCTTTATGCTACCAGGGGTTAAACTTATTTAAAAGCAGAGGTTTTCACTCTCTCATCATTTTGCAAACGTACACAATTACCAGCAATAGCATGCTGCGTCTAAATGAAACTGACCGTAACAATGCCATTGGACGTCTGGAAACCACTGTATCCCAAACAGAGATTGCGAATGCTGTTAATGTTTCACAAAGCTCCATATCTCGACTGTGGGATAGGTATCGTAGGCAAGGAACTACGCGTGATCGCCCACGGCCGGGTAGACCAAGGGTGACGTCAGCAGCTCAGGACCGATACATATGCTGACGCCATTTGAGAGATAGATTTGCAACAGCAACATCTACAGCATCTTTGATTCCACGTGGGCGCAGAATATCTTATCAAACTGTTCGTAACCGTTTGCGGGAGGCAGGGCTCAGAGCAAGATGTCCAGTTAAGGCAGTGGTTATGACGCAACACCATCGTCAGAAAAGACTACGGTGGGCTCAAAGGCATAGAGTATGGCCACAGCAATGATGGGGAAGAGTATGGTTCAGTGACGAATCAAGATTTTTGCTTCAGCGTGCTGATTGGAGGGCAAGGGTGTATAGACGCCGTGGCGAGCGATTCGCTGCTAACTGCGTAAAGGAAGTTGATAGATTTGGTGGGGAGAGTGTAATGATGTGGGCAGCAATATCTTACATTTGCAGGACAAATCTGGTACGAGTCCAAGGTACACTTACGGCCCAGCGATATTGTGATGAAATTTTGCAACCTTTTGTGCTGCCTGTAATGCAGAGAAATGATGCAATTTTTCAGAAAGACAACGCACGATCACACACTGCAAGACTTACCACTACTTTTCTACAAAACCACAACATTGAAATGCTACCATGGTCATCGAAATCTCCAGATCTTAACCCCATTGAGCATCTTTGGGATGAACTGGACAGGCGTATGAGACAGAGACAACCACAGCCACAGATCTTGCAGCAACTGGCTCGGGTCTTGCAGGAGTGGAACAATATTCCTCAACAGTGTATCAGAACTTTAATTACATCAATGGGAAGGCGCTGTCAGTCTGTGATTGATGCTCGTTGACGACACACTAGATACTAATTTATAGGGACCTTGACCTTTGCAAGTGATTAAGACAGTTACTGAAAAGTACTATTTTTACATCATTACTGCTGTACACATAAATTAATATCCAAATCCCTTGCAAATTTTCTTTTGAAATTTTGTTGCAAATACTCTATATGCGTTTCTTATTTTGAAGGATATATTTGTTATCAACAATATTTATTTACTGATGTATCTGTTTATTTTGACTTTTGTTTTAAAATTTTATTCGGATATATGTAGCACTATTTATCAAATCCCATTATAGTATTTTGAAATAATGTTAAGGACGCACTTTAATGAAAGATTTCGAATATTACATCAGGTGGCAGGGGATAGTTTCGTACTAAAGACCTGGTCAAATTTCTTTAAAAAATGAGATATCCCCTGTTTGATGTGATTTTTTACTTAGAAAAATGATTAGAATAATTATGGGACACATTTGCAGTGTAGCAGAGTGCTTGCTGAAAAAAATGATGTGCAACATGTAGGTGTCACTATGACGCTTATCATATACAGAGTTGTAAATGCGAAACTAAGACACGTGGTCAGTTGCAGAGGAAATTCAGCTGAAAAGCAGTAGGCCTTAGAAGAAGGTGTGTATCTCAGAGGGAAGGTGAATGGCCCCATATCAATTGGTGAATTTTTATTAGGGCTTGCATTGATTTACAGACTACTGGGTGTTTTATCCTGCTCGCTCGGGCCTGGGGGTGGGTTGTATGGGTGTGAATAAGGCCCAAATCTTGGAAAAACAAGCCAAAATTTGGGGAGTCCCCAGGTGCATTTTTGGTACATGTGCACTCTAATAGGCAGATTACATGTAATTTGTTGACATAATTTGTGAGCCATGGGCATATGAAGTGTAATCAATTAGCCCCTGGAAAACTGTCTCCGTGTACATGTTTTTATGGATCGCATGTATATGTGTACCCCCTCGGCACATGTTTGGCATTAAAAAAAACTATCCTCTGCCACCTCATATAAACGTACAAATGTTTTTTTGTTCATTTTCATCATAGAGTCGTGTGAAGTTTTGAAAAGTCAAAACTACTCAGATTTAGCGGGAAGTACATTCTATTTCATTTGGACCCATGGAGGCCGCATATCTATTAAAAACGATAATTGTCTTGTTGGTCCATGTATACTGACGTCATGTATTGCGACATTTTCCTCAAATCCTGGAATTTTTTTCAAAAGTGACCAAAAATTTAAGCTATTTTTCAATATTTTGAATAAAGTCCAACCTATGATCCAACACATGCAATTATATAATTACAGAACTGTTTCTGGATTTTATAATACATATTTTATTTTTGGATTAAAAAAAAATCAAAAAAGATTGCATTGTCACAATGCCTGGACTTTCTGAGAAAACCTTTTTATAGGAAATGAAAGCACTTAAGTTTCTCCATTTTTGGATTAAATGAACCTAGCTCTTATAGATTAATATTTCAATTTTTGTTCGTATTACAAGAGGCTTTAAGTACTTCATAACCAGAAAAAAAACGTCATTAATATCTTTTTTTTAAACCTAAGATAGGTTTGAAAACAAATTTACCCGCTTGTATCAGTAAAGAGTGAATGACTGTATTAAAGTCATTTTGTATTTTGCTTTATTTATTTCTATTGCAAAATGGTAAATAAATTCTTTTAACATTCTTTGAATTCTTAAAATCACAAGAAGAAAGATGAAAAAAATAATTTTGAATAATTAAAAGCTGCAGTACACATTTAACACAAAATTTTTAAAAAATAAAAATAGTTTGAGGAACAAAACAAATAAATCGAACAAAAAACCTTCAAAAAGTTAAAAAAAAAAAATTGTGTATCATTTTGTTAAGCCGACTAACAAGGATCATGGCATTTTGTTAACACATCAATGTGAAAGCATAAACCGACAGGAATTTTAGTGATATTTTGGTTAACATAATCAGATTTGCATAAAGACAACTTGATTGTGATAAATTCAAACTTTCTATGAAAAAGCATTTATTTGTGGTTATCAAAGGCAATAATTATATTCTGCGATATTACATTCTCTGTCAATCTCGACGCAAAATGTAACACCACAAAACGTAATAATCCGAGAAAGTGTGTTTATAAATGTTGCATCATTACCTTCTACATAGACTAGAGGCATAGTATAATAACGCAATATGTAATAATTCAAAAAGTGTGTAATTACATTTTGCCTTATTAGATTCTGCAATGATCCCAACACAAAATGTAATAATGCTAAAATGTATTAACCTTAGTCTGCTACATTTTGCATCGTTATTACATTTTGCATTTTAACAATACTTATTACTGGTAACAAAGCTGACATAAAAAAAAAATCAGTGTCTATCAATTTCAAAATGGCAAACTGTACAATGAATGAAAAATGCTTAATCTAAGATTTTTGCAAAAATAAATAATAAATTAAAAACAAATATTTTTTTAATGGAAAAGAACATTTAGTGCATCAAAGTTTGTACCGTATATAATTTACATGATAAAGTTTGATCCATCGTCGAAAATTGCAGTTGCCGTTTATCTAAATTGAGGATAAAAAAATTACATAATGCAAGTATATGGGGGAAATCTTAAAACAAAGCTTCAATCATTTATTCATGAGGGTTAGTATCTCCTTTCAAACTCATTTTCTGAAGGAATCAAATAAGGACGAAAAAACATTCCGGAAGGAACTAAGCAAGAGTTGGTCAATGTTGGAAGGGAGGGGGTTGAGGGTAGGGTGTTTGCCGTTCCTTTCCTAGACAAGGTAATATGTGCTTTGAAATTATTATCGTTTAATTAACGGTTAAGTTTAATTTTTATATCGCAAACGAGCTTCCATATACTGTTCGAGTGTAAAAGTAACCCCTCGATTGTAAAAGGCAGCATTTCTCGCAAAAGTCCGTTAACGATATGCAGACGTGGGCAAGACCCATCAGTAGAAAGAAAATAGTACATGAACGATTCTGTCCAAATATTTATTTCACTTTACCGAAGTAGGTTTTAGGAATAAAAGAAACAATATCTGGAAATCTGACGTTTTATTTTAAAATCGTCTCCATTTACATTTAACAACAAAACAATATAAGAAACATATACCTTTTTCCATTATCATAATCAAAATAGATCAACTTTGCTTCAGCTTTGAAGTTTATCATGAGACATCATTGTTGAATAAAAGAGCAAGCACTGTCGCCAATATACACTGTGCCATTACATTTTACCCAAATTACAAATACTCAAACAATAATGATTTTGAAAGAAATAAACCCCTCTCTCTCTCTCTACGAGGCGATTTGATTAAGATTTACAATTTCAAAGGTGAGTATTTCTTTTTTTTTTTTTTTTTTTTTTTTTTTTTTACAATTTCAAGAAAACAAATGAAACAGATCATATTTATTATCAGGGTTTCTCAAAGACTCATGCTGATGCGTAAAATAGCTTCCTAAAACAATTTAAACAAGGGATAACCTTTGCCCTGGTTTAGTTTAGCGCTAAGGTTTAGAAATTGTTGAAAAATAGTCAAATACAAAAGCGCAATTCAACACATGTCTACTTTCGTTATCAACTATGCAGGAATATCAACATTTTTAAATGCCATTATACGAGATGAAACTACAAATAGGATATAGCTTTACATCTTCATGCATTTGTTAAAAAAAGGCGTGGTTGGAACTGCTCTCTAGCTGTATTGTCAGAGAATACAATGGAAGAAAGGTAACTCCAGTACAAGAATTGTACCTAATTATAAGTATCTATACTTATAAATTAATAAATTTTGCAAATAAACTCCGAAATGGGTGCACCAGAGTTCTTACTAACTCCTCTATAAATACACTAGATACAAGATGATGTCCGTAAACTATATTTAGATTTCACTCGCATAGTAAGTATCGCACATTAAATTAAAAGTCTACTTTCAATTTCTATAAACAGCCATGAAATAGCAAAAACGTGAGTACGGTGGTGTTTCCGGTTGGCGGATCTAAGTTACTGGCAA